TTTTTTTTTAATTTTTAAAAAATAAATTTGATTTTTTAAATAATTTTTTAATATGTATTTTGTCCAACAGATGGCTGCCTTTCTCACAAAACTGCAGTAGCAATTATATGTTTAACTGTGAATATTAGATTTATTTTAACATCTTTTCATAGTTTATAAAATTATTTATGTTATTAATTTGCATTATAGAATATGAAAAATGTATAAAAACAAATAATATAATTTATAAAAATTATCATTTATTTCAATTATATATTTATAAATTAATTATAGAAAAATTTTATTAAATTAAAAGTGATTATTAGTATTGCAATGCCTTATCTTATTTGCTGCTTCTTAAATAATTCATCGAATGACATTATTTAATTAGAAATTAATGTGTATGTACACATAATAAGTCATACAGAAAATTAATTTTTAGTAGTTGATTTTATCTCACCACTGAACAACGTAGATAAAGAAACTTGAAAAGTTACACTCGATTATACAAACAGAAAACACGAGCGATGGTTTTACGGAAATATCTCTGCCAATAAACGGAAATGACGTCATAGACTCACTAGGGGTTCCTCTATCCGATAATGGAGCTGGTAGAATGGAAGTTTGACAACGTATCTTGTAGCTCCGAAATCAGAAACCAGCCACTCTCATATAAAACGTGATGTGCCTCAACGATCGTTTTCTTGTAAACTACAAATGTATATAAAAAAAAAGAACAGATGGAGAATGAAATCAATTTTATAATTAAACTTTATTGCTAATTAATGTTTACAAATAATACAATTATAATATAAAGATACAAACCGCTAAATTAAATAATTTGGAAGAGTAAATGATGTTTAAATTTCGGTTAAACTTCAAAACAATTAATATTTAATTTTTAAAAGCAACGAAAAGTTGTGCGTTAATATCTTTCCCCTGTACATCTGTCTTCCTTACATAGCTACTGTTAAAGCAGGGAAGCCGAACTTACAACGACTCTTCAATGTTTGAATCTCGTTAAAAATAAAATAAATATTATAAATTAAAATTTATAATTTAACTAATAAAATAATAAATGTTTATTTATATATTACACTTTTAATAATAATTTTCGTTTAGGGAATAACGTTTCAAACATCCGATACAAATTAGATCAGGTTGTATGAAACATCATAAAGGAGGACCACAATTAATTGAGTAGCTATTTATTGCCATTCTTCGCTATTTAGAAGTTGGATTCAGTACGCCTTGTACTTCCTGAAGTAAAGTTTTCGGATATGGGCGAGGTCCTTATATGAGAGAAGATTGAATTAGCTTTGCCCTCTTCCTTGTCCTCTGCAACTTAATTGAATCGAAGGCGTTCTCTGAATCTCTTGGGGCCATAAATGTCTGTTGGTCTCATCGTATCCTTACAACCGAATCCAAAATACTGTAGCGAATAGATAGGTGTAATTTATAGAGAAATAATAATATTAAGTTTATTATTATTTAATACTTTTCTCGCTAAGTATAGAATAGCAATCAATACATTTCTGAAACATCCGGTATCTCCGGATATCTTCATCTTTTATCACTAGACATCATTTACAGCCATACCAAGATATCTTTAGCTTAAGGGATTAGGGAATGATCACAGTATCGATCTAAGCTTTTCAATCCCTCAACGTTATTAATAACATAGAAAAACATTAACCTTTATCCACTAGAGATTTTCTTAAACTTGATATCTTTATAAATTAAACTTTCAATTATAAAATTTGTTATTTTATATTTTCTTTAATTACTTTTATGCACAGTCGTTTTATATTTTAAAATATATTATTTATAAAGCTGCAATTCTTCATGTAATTAAATTTATATTTTAAAGTTTTTATAAAAATATAAAAGGTAAATTATTAAAGAATTTCTTTCTAGTTTATTATTATTATTATTTTTTTTTTTTATTAGAAACTGCAGGAATTTATTTTCGAATATTTTATTATCTATGATTACTCCATTTTAAAAGTTGGAAAATGTTATATTTAGTATAAAAGTCTTCGGTAGATATGCAATTAGGAAAGATACAATAGAACAAAACGTGAATTATCAAACAACAAGAGGATCAGATCTCAGTATTCCGATTATGGGTGTCGAATTCTTGAAGTTAAAGTAATGGCTTCAGCATCTCTCGTCGCTTCAGCACATCGATTGCATGAATAGGGAGTTTATAATGGATTTGGAAATTTCATTTTGTTTATATTAATACGAAAATTGAATATATATATAAAGTANAAATCACAACATAAATAACTTAAAAACGATTAAATTTTGAAGACAGTAAACATTATAAATACTTCAAAAACAAAAAAAAAAAAAACTTTTGCGAAGTTTAAGTAATGGATCTTAATTTCGAAAAATTAGAAAAAAAAAATGTTTAAAGATGAATTAAAACATAATTTTTTGTTAGCAAGAATACGTGTTGACTTCTACTTAACACTCGAGAGAGAAAATATTGTTGCACATCGTTTTTTAAAAAAGATCTTCAACTTTTATCAACAAAAGAAACTAAGCCATGTTGAAGGGAAGTTACCAACAATAGAAGTGTCGACCATCTTGCTCTCTTTATACTTGTGCATTGAGCCATTAAATATTCCCAGGGTGTGTAGAAATCACAAAATTGACAGGTTACTGTCTGACCTTTCACCTCTCTTATGACGTCATGTAGAGAATTTAAGAAAAACATTCGCGGTTGTTAAAGACTGCTTATCGACTGAATAAAGCTATTAATCAAAAATGGATGCGAGTGATATTTCAGACTCGAATAGATAATAATGACTTTTTTCTTTTTTTAATTTACTTTTCTGACATAAAAAAACGTGACAAATTATAAAATTTCATTTTTATCTACAATTTTTGCTTAATTATTGACTAATGATTACCTTGCATATTCATTAGTAATAATTTACTTAATGAATATTTATGAAATTCGATATTAAAATTCAAAAATATTCTGTTTAAGAAAACTAAAATAGTTACTTATAAATTAAGGAATTATCATATAATATTTTAAACGAAATAAACTTTTTTAATGTTTTATTTAACATTAAAGTTATGAAGTTATAAAAGCACATATTTTGTTGATTTAAAACGTTAAAAAATAAGATAAAATATCAATTTTTTTAAGTTGGAAACTTAAAAATTATATATTTAAAACGATTTATAAGACGATAAATAATAATAATAATAATTATTATTTTTTCTATCAAGGAATAGAAGTTGTTAAACTTGACTCTCGATTTTTAATAACAATTTCTCTATACAATAAAAAAGTCTTTACGTGGCACTCGTTATTTTGACAGGTGAAGCTGTTTCTATTTTATTGTATCGATAAAAAAAAATATCTGAAATCAATCAATCTTTTCAAAATCGATGCTAACATTATCGAAAAAATTTCATATATGCCAATTAATATCAACTTATCTTATATAAGTGATAAACGATAAAAAGAGGAAAGAGAATTTTAATATTTTCCAAATTAAAACTTTAAATAAATTGGTTATAATTAATTAGCGTGGGAGGTGTTTTATACCAGTTAAAGTCATATTTACAATGGTGTAGCAGTTGTTCGGGTGCGACAACACGTCAGTCTGCACATCACGGGTCTGGAGTCAACTGCACATCACCTCAGTCCCACACAACGGACAATCAATGGATGCGTGATCTACGCAGTCCAGCGAAGGACATCGGACGGCGATGGTCGACCACATCCGTTCTGTTAAGATTTTTTTGGTAAAGTGTCCGTAATGTGGAAGGATCGCTCGTCGACATGGATCAAAAATCATTGGCAATCACTTATCTTCTCTTCGTCTGGATCATCTGTGAAGTTTCATCCAAAGGTAATTTTTCTCTACAAAGTTTCTGCGCTCGTAATTTTTATTTAAGAAAATATCAAAATTTCAGGAATAAAATTTCTTAAATAATTTATAAGGATTTTAATTCTAATCAATATAAAAATTATTCATATATTTTTAAAGGATGAATGAGAAATAAAGAAAACAAATCCCCTCCTTTTTATAAAATAAATTACTCAATTTTTCTTCTAAACTTTTAAGATTTGTTAATTTTAAAATATTATTTATACAATATTAAAATTTTTTAATCGTGTTGGATCACCCTATTGTCCGTATAAAGAGGTTTGAATCAATGAAAGAGAACGAGCTTTAGGATAAATTTTCTTTAACTTTTAATCTAATTAAAATTTCACTCTGTTATATTTCGCTAGAGAGGAATTTTGTGCCCGGCCGCGCGACAGTTGTTTAAGATGAGCTCGATAAATTACATTATTGGCCCTAGAAGTAAATAGGGTCTTTTATAACAGCCCATGAAGTATGGCTCGGAGCGCTTTAAAATTGCTCTTATTTTACAAGTGCCTCTTTGACTTTCTTTTCAAACATTCTGGAATTATAAAACTGCGAAAAGTCAATTTTTTTCCTTTTTTTTTTATATAAAAGAGCAACGATCAAACTCTAAGATAAACTATGACAATACCTAGCTAATGACGTAACAGTCGTACGTCGGACTCACAACGTTCGCATTACGTAACCTGTGACATTTATGTTCCCCTAAATCAGGGGACCGTACCCAAGGGGACGTCCTTATCGTTTTTAACGTCACATGGTGTCAAATGTGCAATGATATAAGCGGATTTGAAACAATGATTCTTTGCCAGATTTTTAAAACACGTGCTTACTAAATTTTCAAATTTTTTTCGAGTTAATAAAAAGCTTTATAAAAATTATTCGCTCGTATAATAAATGAATATGTAAAACAGTTCGAGAGGTTTAATAAATGCTAAACTTTTGTAGAGTTTGATCGCGGCGGGGGATTTTCGGAACATTAATCTCATCTTGTAACAAGCGCAGCATTGCATATACAGTACCAACATCTGGTCTGCTTTTCTGCTAATGGACTGGAAGTCTTCCAAAAATTTGCCCTCCCGTTCTATTGTGCGTACAAGTCTTTCACTAACTCCTCCAGGGGGGAGACATCGCTCTTTTCCCACGCCAACCAATGCACCAACTTCACTGCCATCTATCATCAACAGGCATCAACCTTAGGGACCTGGGGTGCCAAATTTGCTGTACTGTCACGTGATAAGCTCCGTCAGCAAGTTTCGATAGATAGAAGAATACAATTAAAAATTGCCTATAAGCGTGATGCGTGAAAAACTTTTTATCAACCCTTTTGGTGAGTAAGCGAAATTCGAGATTATTGCCAGTTATAAGCCCATTTTATATCAATTTTCTTCAATATAGAACGGTTTAATTTAGGATAGATAATTTTTAATAAATTTTCTACCAATAAGAAATTCGTTAGCTACATATTTTATATATAATTGCTCGGTTTAACACATAATAAATGTTAAGGAGAATAGGAAACAGAATTAGGAGAAATGTAGTAATATATGAAACAAAATTAAGGGTTTGAGAGGATCTGATTAAGAACGATTCATACTCATCCCTAACGACTAGAGTTAAGGGAGTGTAACGCAAGAAGTAATCACCATACAAATACGACATTGATGCAATGACTTGGATTAGGGACGTTTGACCCCCCGCTGTAATTCTATTGATTGAGGATGTTTGCTGGATGTATGCTTCTCTTGCTCTCCAAATCTCTTTCTCCCTCTCTCAGATTTACAGTTATACTATTCATATATGCAAATTTAATAGCCATAATTCGTATGATAATTTTAGAATATTTAATTTAATAATATTAATATCGTGTTTTATATTATAGTCGATAGAATAAAAAAAATTATTTAAGTTAATTAGTATTTATTTATTTAGATCCTTGTTTTCTGGTCTTAAAAATAACGTATATAAAATATATTAAGCATAATTTTTTCCGGGAAAATGGCTTTATTTTCCATCTGGAAAAAGAAAGGAAAAATAGTTATCGAGCTTAAAAAAAAAATGGAGGACTAAACGACTTTTTGGTGATTTTGTTCTTCGTGTGATTGCATTTCCGTCAATAGTGTGACAAAACACGATCTGCTGTGATTGATATTACTTTAGCAATCGAACAAGCAGAGAATCGATCCACTCACAACTGTACAATTGTCTTTGCAGGTTGCAACAAAACAATTCGTACAACGAGGGCCGTGAGAAGTCCAAAGCTAACTCGAGCCAATAAGAACAAACCAATTACATGTGTCTACCACTTCTTAGGCTATGGGGATAAACGGTCTCTTAACCTGTTCGAACTCAATATCCGTTCCTTTCAAGTCGGCAAATTAGTTAATGGAACGACCTGTACTAATGGTTACCTGCAGATTGTGGATCATCGTTTGAGAATCGAAAATTCTGGCTTCATCTGTGGTAAAATTCGACGTAGCAGAACATTATTAGTAGAGAGTGAGTCCGTTACATTAATCTTTCACACGGATTATTTTACAAGAAGAACGTTTTTTAAAGCTCAAAGTTCGGTTCTGCCTCAACCTCTTGCTAGAGAGCGTCATAAAGAACTGGCCGCTAAAAACCCTGGTAATCTGATTCAAGGTACTTATTGCGATAGGACTTACGTTAACTGTATCGGATTCTGTGACGTCATGAGCCCCGGTTATCCGGGTGTTTACCCTCGAAATCTCACCTGTCGATATAAAGTTATTTTCAATTCGACCGACGTTAGAGTGACAATAGGAGGACAATATTTCGATAAATTCGATGTTTGGGGTGCACCCGGTTTCGTGGGACATCGGATAGTGACGTATTGTCCTTACGACTACATCAGAATTCAAGATGGTCTCAATCCTAACAGTCCTACGGTGGGGAGATTTTGCGGCCACGGAACTCTACCTAGAATCGTGTTAAAAAACCCGGCCATGCTGCTCGATTTTGTTGCATCTCCCGCTGGCAGCCTGCTAAACGACGGTTTCTATCTTTCCGTAGGATTTGAAAGGCGTTTGCAAGAAAATTCGGGAGAACAAATCAGCGAAAACAGTTTTCAATGGACATTCGAAAGCACCGACAAACCCCATGGTTATTTTTATAGTCTGAGACATTGGTATCCAGCGAGAACTAAATGCGTATACAGGTTTTTAGGTAGACACGGAGAAAGAGTTTGGATTAACTTCCAGGGATTTAATATTAGAAGGGGCTACAGATGTAGGGATAAGCTATTGATTTTCGATGCCTCCTGGCCAGATACTTCGAGGTTAATAGGTGGTTTCTGCGGTCACACTCGCCCGAACGAAACTATGATGTCGAGTGGGGAAAGTCTTTTCATCCAATTCGAAAGTATAGATGGCTCTTACGATGGATCTCAATTCGAATATTCCGCATATTACATGTTCGTAAACAGCACACCCGCTAGAAGTGTCGTGCCGGATACGGAGTGTGATCAAGTGTTTTCCAGTTCGTCCTCTACCTCGGGAACATTCGATATTTTACCGAATCGTCTTCAACTTCGAAGGCGTCAACTCAAGTGTCAGCTGCTATTTATAGGAAGACCAACGGAACAGGTGAGAATAATTCTGGAAGAGATGCGCTTCGATCCGGTAAAACAATGCGTAAGGGTGGAGAAAATCCGTTGCGCCGATACCCAAGTCGATCCTCTGGATCATCTTGTCATCCTTGAAGATGATAGAATACTGGATTGCCTGTGCAGCGACCCACCAAAGAGGGTTGAAGTGGTAAGTAGCGGTTCGATGATAACCGCTCTCCTACGGCTTCACAACATCCACTATTTAGCTCACAGAGAGACATCTAGTTTCATATTTCGGGGAAAGTACGAATTTCTACAAGTGGGATGCGGACAGAGCATCTTATGGGGGCGTCAAGGAAGAATAGATTTCCCAGTTTATCCCGACAGACTGCAAGAAATCATCCAATGTAAGTGGACGATAGAAACATCACGCGACACACACATCCTCGTCAAATTTCCTCGTTTAAGATTACAAAACAACTGCAATGAAACTATGATAAAGATATATGCAATAGGTCAAAAGTCACCTTATGAGAAAATATGCGATAGCTCCGAAACTCAGGAAATACTACCTCCGGGATGGGATTCGCCTACTGTCTCCTCTTCGGGACACAAGATTATCATCGAACTAACTTCGTACATAAAAAATATAAGTTTTAGCCTTCGATGGACCGAAATTCGTAGATTTGAAGGCGATAACCAGTGTGATTATGTGTGTAGAGATAACCTAACATGTTTATCCAGCAGTCTATTGTGCAACGGTATCATCAATTGTCCAGAGAAAGGTTACATAGCTAATCCACTGGATGAAAGTCCTTCAAACTGTAAACCGTTGGATCTGTTTGTTTACTATCTTCCCGCTTCAATAGCCCTTATACTTTCACTTTTTACTACCAGTTTCATCTTCTTTTATTTGTGGAAGAAGAAAGAAACACCTACACCCAGACCAAAATAAGAATTAAAAAGGTGATAAATTTTATACATATATATTCTCTTCCGAGCTTCACAATTAACACAATATTCACACAGCAAATAAAAATTAAATAAAAATAATAAATAATTTCAATTTTTATTCATTTGATAATTGTGCAAAGTTAAAAATGATTTTTGTATAAGGATTTTTAACAAAATTTGTAACTTGTAACAATTTATTTTCAAAAGTTGGCAAAGAAAACAATTTAAATAATATCAATAAAATCAATTAAAATTTTTTAATATTTTTGTCTAAAATTCGTTTTTTTTTCTTTTCATCTTTACAAAGAATTTAAATGAAAAATGGAAGAAAATTAATTAACATTTCTTCCTAAAAATTATTATTATTAATTTCAAACTGGCGAGATGATAGAACTTTAATAATTTTAAGTAAACAAAGTATAAAAATTCGTGAAGAAACGTAATAAAAGTGAATGTCAACATGATCAATTTAGTTTTCCACCATAAATCATTGTCAAAACAAATCTTTTCATTCAAATAATTCAAGATTTTGACATAAAAAATCAATTGTTTGGTAGAAATTTATTAAAATAAGATAAATGAGAGTACGCCGCTTACAATTTTAACTTTTTAAACGTATGACAAAAAAAATTAATATATATATATATATATATTTTTCGTTTTAGAGAAGGAAATTTAGAGAGGATTACTTAAAGTATACTAAAGAAGAATTCCCATTTCTGAACATAAAGGAAATCGAAAGTGTCTGATACTTTCTCTTAGGCGTTAGAACATTTGTCTCAATCTTTCAGAATGCCAAGATAATGAAATTTCGATCCGTTTTTAAGTGCTTCTTGTCTTCGAGCATTCATTCTACTAAAACAATAGGAAACGTAACTATATGCTTCCTTCTTTAAACAAATTATCTAAATTGGAAGCTTGCTAAAGAGCAAGACAATTCAGTTTTATTGATGTCATTCTTTAAATTCCTGGTAATGCTCTTAGCGATCTCGACTGGCGACAAATTATCTACATAAGATTTCCGGCTATATCCCCACCCCCATCAAATTATGCCTTTTAAAAATTCTACGAATATTCAATTTACGGAATTAGAAAAGAAGAAAATTAGCAAATTTTCCCTAATATCTACCACGAACAAACTTCATTTGTTATCCCCTTCCCCCTGGTCAAGGGGAGTCACGTGATTGATCTCGACAGCACGTGACCCTATAGGAGAAAGGACAGATCGTCCTATTTTGTGTTTGACAGCTGGTCAATGACGTCATGAGAGACAGCGTTACCCCATACGGAGTAGTTTGTGTCAAACTGTATCCAGAGCCACACACTTTTGCCATAACAGATGTCGCGTAGCAAATATGAATGGAAGAGATACACGTGCAGCGCGCATAATCGCCACCTCAATGGCAAATCACTTTGTGGAAATGTTATTTTCCTAACTCCGTTGTACTTTTAAAACCCGAATTTTTTATTCAAAATTAGGTGGGGGGGTTATTCTCATTTGATATCTCCGTACCTAAAAAAGACAGATGGCATATCTAATTACAGAGTAACTTCTAAGGTTATCATTGCAAATATATTCTGTAGTAGCGAAATTTTATATATTTTTCTTAATTAAAACGGTTTATAGTAAAACTTTGGTTAGAAAAAAAGGGAGCAGAGAAGCCCATAAGTTTAAGCTAATATTTTTTAATGGGTCAAAATAATAGTCCAAACTTATGGGCTCTTTATCTTTATTTATAAAAAGGTAAATTGCTTTCAAGCAAAAAAAAAAAGTATTGTGCTAGGTTACAATTTAAATGAACCTTGGAATTACTAAAAAGGAAATCAATTTTAAACATTTTAAACTAATTAAAAGTTTTCACAGAAAATAATAGAATTTATTGCAATTTACCGTGCTGCCATCTATAGCTGATAGAATATATTAGATATTGAATTTAATCGAAGAGATACTTTACTTTTATTTCAAAAAACAAATTAGCGGATTAGTTAAAAATTACAACAATAAAAAAAACAAAAATTTGAGTTTTCTTGTCAGCATCCACAACTGATAATTTTAATCATAATATGCATAAACAGAATCTCCTACAGATATAGTTCCTGGTGCTCTTAGTTCGTGAAGTGTGCCAAATAATGGAGCGTTGCCGAATTTAGAACCCAGTTTACCCGTCGCCAGTCGGTATCTATCGAAATTAAGAATAGATTAAATTAAATACAGAAAAAAAAACAATAATTAAATAGGTTTTTTATAAAACTTACTTTCTTAACGCTTCCATGACTTTAGGAGAATAGTCTCCAGTTTCGGGATCAACGTTAACAATTGGACACCTGAAAAAAAAGTTTATTTCAACAATATATTTATCCTAAATATAGTCTTTAGAACTTAAAAATTACGGGATATTTTATCAATACCTGTCACAAAAACTAGCAAATTGAAATTCCGCATCGCCGATTTTCACGTACTTCCATTTATCCTGAAAAACGTAGGAGAAGGACATTTAAAAATTTAAATTATTATTAGTGAGAAAAAATTCTGAAAGATCTCTTACATCTTCGAAAGGTTCCAGGTTATCTCCGTCTATTACGATATTCGGTCTAAAGTTTTTATAAGAAGCCTTCTTCTCTAATCTCTTGTTTAGATCACATACAGACGGCATAGTTATCATATGGTAAGAATTATAAGTATGATATGTTTTCTAAACAAGAGGAGGAAGAATTAACATAAAAAAAGGGAGAATAATTGATAAAGTATGGAGAAATTATACCTACACGCTTAACATTATCATCTTTTAAGTGTTCTATCGATTGTATTATGATTATGTCATCTCTTCCCGTGTACTCCCTCAATAATTTACTTACATCATCTCCTGTATATAATCCTTCTAAATTCTTCATGTAAATTCTAAAAGAAGGAAAAAGATATGTAACTGTACACACTTGGGGGGGAAATGAAGATTATATCTTGAAAAAGAATGGGATGATAACTACTTTGTTTCTTTAACGTCAGCATCCTCAGGAATATCTTTAAAAATAGGGATTTTTAGTGGAGGTTTACTAGGATCTTTACCATTTCTTACAATCAATTCATTCTCGGTCACACACGGAGATTCAGGATGCAAAGTTACAAGAGGATGTACGTACTGTATATCTACATACAATTTATGATTGTCGGACATCACCATCCACATCCTAGAAGACATTTACTATACAGTTAATAAAGCTTCCCTTAAAATCCAATAGAAAAACGTCCATACCTATCTCTAATACCATTCACTTCGAGCCCGAGTGGTGTACATTCAGCTTGATTAACTTCGACACCGGCGAGAGATTTGACAGGATAAATAATTAGTTTAGTTACTTTACCTACTAAACGATACCGTTTCTTCCTACTTTCGTAGAGAAGTAAACCAAAGAAGGTAGCAATACAAGCTACAGCAGTTCCAAACAAAACTACAGACTTTGGAGTCCATCTACAGGATATAAAACTATTGTAGAATAATAATTAAACGTCTTAAATACTAAATAAAAGTTTAAACTTACACTGGTGAACCATTAGAACTCATCTTCTCCAACCTAACAGTAAGGAAGGAACAATTAAAAGAACAGTGTAATTATGACTCTGCAGTTTAAATGTTTTTTTTGTATTTTGCATAAAGTAATGTGATTTTACAATTATAATAAATAAATGTTGTTNATTTTTTAAATATAATTTTGAAATAATTTAATAATTTACGTTTAGTAACTTAAAGAAAAAAAAATATTTTTGCTAATTTAAATACGTTTAATGACGTTGCATTAATTTAATATTTAGAAATAAATAAATAACTTGGTGAATTTTATTTTATTATTTTTTTTTTAAATTAGAAAATAAAACTTGTAAATAAAAAAGCTATTTATTCAAATTTATTACACAGTATATTTTTTTATAAATTTATGAAAAAAATAAACAATAATTTATTAATTATAAAAACAATTTATAATTAATTATTTATACGTAAATAAGAAGTTTAATATTAAAATTTCAGCGTAAATTTTAAAATTTAAACAATGATAATGTGAATTTAACACGAGATTTCAATTTATATTCATGGCAAATATTGTTTTATATAAAATTATTCCTATTCTATTTATTCTAACGGATATTATTATTATTAAAAATGTCAATTTGAGCCGTAGACTTCATCGCCAACCCATATCTCTCCTCCAGTTACCAAACCATAATTCATAGTAAATACTGGTTTCTGTCCAAATACCTTCTTCTCTTTAGGATCCTTAGCTAATCTATATCTAATAAGTAAATAATATAATAAAAAAAACATTTAAAAAAATAATAAATAAACATTAAATTTATCACATTATTTACTTTTTCAGAGTTCTTATAGGTTCTTCCTTACTTCTAATGCCAGTTTCTGGATTAACTTTAGTAATTGCACAACTATAAAATTATAGATTTTAAATTAAAATTTTGATTATAATTAAGAAAATAAACGTTAAAATTTAATTATACCGATCGCAAGGAATAGTCCTGATCAATATAGCTTCTCCTATTTTCAAGTATTTCCATTTATCCTAAAATTATTTAAACAAAAAGTTATAGGATAAAAAAATAAGGAAATAATTTTAAAAATATTCGATTTACCTCTTCAAAAGGTTTACAATCATCTAAGAGAATATTCGCTCGAAAATGCTTGTAGCTTACTTTCTCTTCATCTTCTAATCTGCCATTCAGATCATCCACAGATGCTTGACTGAGTAGAAGATAAGGACTAGCCGATTGAAATACTACCTGCAAGAATTTGCTGTGTAATTATAATTATCAATTGTTTATTCTGTTTATTATGTACATACGGGATAATTATCTTCGTTCAAATTTACTAAATTACTAAAAGTAGACGGCCTTGTTTCGAAGATTGGAAGAAACTGTATTAAGCGAATGTCGTCTCTATTTAGAAACTTTTGTAACCATTTTGCAGCTTCTTCGCCACAGTCTACACCCTTTATAGGTTTATATTCATAAATCCTAAATAAAAAATAATAATAATAATATATTTTCGTAGGAAATACTAGAAAAATGGGCCTTACTTGTATTCTTGGACGTCTGCATCAATAGGGATGTCAGTGATGATGTCCACTTTTAACGGATCTAATCCTTCGCTATCGATTATCAATTGATTATCTTCTATACGTGGATGCAGAAGCACTAAACGTGGTTCAGTCATCAAAGTTACGTTTCTGTTATCTGAAGTTCTCACTAACATCCACATTCTACGAAGAATAAGAGCTCAATTCTCATTTGAAAACAATTAATTAATAGAAATAAAATAAATACCTATCCTGAAAAGTTTCTTTTTTCAAGCCACTTGATGTACAAAATGCTTTTTCCACTTCATACCCTGCTAAAGACTTGACCGGGTAAAGGATAATCTTTGAAACTCGACCGATTTTCCTAAATCTCTTCCTCGAACACCTTAATCCAAGATAGATAAGTGTACTGAGTAACACAGCAGTACAAGTCGTGTACAAATAAAATTTTGGTATCTCCATTATTAAGTAGAACGAAGTGAATGCCGAGAATGAAGGGGTGGTTGCGTAAACAAAATTACGCAATTTGGTAAACGTCATAATATCAATCACGTGTTTTCGTCTTACGTAAAAATACGAGACGAAAAAAAAAATAATTAATATATAAAATTACAAGATGATATAATTTCTTTACGGAGATTTATAATTAAATTTTAAGCCGGTATAATTTAGTAAAATACATGTTTGCATATTTCTATTATATAGATGTATACAGTATTTAAAATTCCCATCACATAAGCTGTAGATGTAATGTGTAGAGACGGTAGCATAATATAATCTATAGCTAAAGGCTATATAATTTTAAATATTTATTTTCTGAATTTTTCAATAACTTGATCTCTGGAACATATTTTCGTTAACTTATCGTACACGTATGAGACTAAATATCATTGAAGTAACAATGAATTGTACTTTGTACGTGTACAAAGCGATATAACTATCAATTAGTGAAGTAAAAGATTGAATTTTAAATAAATTTAAATTGAATATTTTATAAATATGCTGCTAAAAATGATTTTTTTAAAAAAAATAACATTTTCTATATATATATATATACAGTATATATATATATCTAAATTAGCGAATGTGTTGATTTGATTATTCTAACTTACCGTTGTTTCGTTTATCACCGAGTGTCGAGGAGATGAAATTGGGATAAGGGTGGTGTCTGGGTTTCGTGGTATCGATATATTTTCTTCGGAGTCCAGAGAATAAGTATGTTTTGGAGCAGATCGATCAAAAAACAGAACGGATGCAGACGAACATTCAATTAAACATATAGCTTTACGACGCGTAATTACGGCACGTCTATAGATTGCAAACAACCAAAAACATTTTATTTATAACTATATTCTCTATAGGAATGTCATCTTTCACTGCCGCCATTTCATTTCTACATACAAAGGAACAATCTTTCTGTTTGTTGATTCCATAGAACTGTTGGATCAGTCCGTTCGACTGATACAACAGTTCCAGTTTCANGATGTTTATAATATATTCAGACATAAATTTTCCTATTATTATTATTATATCTAAACTGGAAAGATTTCCTGCTAGCAAAATTTACAAGAAATAATTTCCTGTTTTTAATAGTTTTTTTCCGTATAATTTTTATAATATAAGTTAATTTAGTTTCATATTAAAATATATTCGAGTTAAAATGTTCGTTAAATTGATTATAAATTTATAAATTCTGGTTAGAAAGTCCTTATATAAATTGCTAACAATGCTGTAAAATTTAATGCTTCACAGAATTTATCCGATAACACATTAATTATAAGAAAATAAAGAAGAATATAGCGAAAGAAAAGGCATTAAAACTATTAAAATGCAACATAGGACACGTTCTAGTTTTTTCGTTGCACTGACACGTTTACTGTTTCAACAATAAATCTTTCAATTTTTATCATTCTCTTGGATTTTCTTTTCGAATTTTTTTCTTTGCTATGTGTCAACAAATAAAAGGGAGAAAAATATTGTCGTTCTTTCCAAATGCATTTATACAATTGACAAGTTTTACATTTAATCAAAACGATGGAAGTTTTCACTGTAGTCAAATAAAGTCCGATTTCTTTACTTTTTAATGGCGTATATTCTACTGGAAGCTATAAAATTTGATCAAATAATATAATAAAAAGAAAAGCTGACAACGTTGTTGCTGGACTTTCCCACTGTTCTGTATATATATATATATTCATCCCTAATAATTGTATCATCGCCTTTATAAGTTTTCAGATTGGTTCGGAAGATATTAAGGGGTAGATTAAAGGACCATATCTCCCGAACTAAAAGTCCAATTTTCCTGAAAATTTCTAGAAATATTCCTCCCTAAAACACAAATGTTCGTGCAAAATTTCAGACGTTTTCAACAAAAGAGACAGGCGTTATTAAGCTTTAAAGCGGGTGAACAAAATCGAGCCTCCCCCACATACTAACATCCTTACATATAGAAAAATCCACAATATTTTTAGTTTCGTATTACTCGATATTTTGAGTCTAAAAATATAAAGATCTTGGGTACCGATTGCCATGCTTTTCCTCTGTTATATAACAGTAAGGAAAGTAATAGAAGAGAAATGCTTTATAATTATTTACCCTTCTAACATAGGTAAACAATTGTTTCAATATAAGTTTTAAAGTAACGAATTAAATTAGATTTTCTCGTTGTGGTGAGGAAATTCTAGAATATTTCTAATCTGACGATTTGAGAATTCTTTCCAGGAAGACAAACAGATAAAATAGCAGCTTGACAGATCTCTCTTAATCTTCTTTAGTCGAAAGCAATAATGACTTGGATCGTAGAAGAGAATTAGTATCACGAGTAACTTCTCTGCACGATGTATCGTGTCCGGAATATGGTCAAAAGATCCAATTATCGATTCTAAATCGAATTAGTGAAGCATAATTCTTAAAATGTCTTAAAGCATTGAGGTATTTATCATTTCAGCCGTGAATATTAACTCATTCCTTCGAATTATGAGCTGTCAGATGTGAAATTATTAATATTACTTTAAAATTGTGTAAATATTTATAATATTTTTTGGCTTAAACAGTTATAAAACTTTAGAATTGTTACCAGTAAAATAATTAAAATTATTTTATTTAAAAAAGTTTTATAATAAAAGAATATTTTAGCGATTATTTCATGAAACTAAACAGTAAGCTTGTGTTCTGCAGTGTTTTGTGGAGAAAATACCTTCATGCAGAAGTTATTCTTCAAGGAGAAACACGCGTTAACTCATATTTACTAGCAATAAGTGTCTTTTTATAGCCATTAATGTCGATTAAATCACTAAATAAAAAAAAAGGATGAGGTTTATTTGTATTATACGAGACAATTTCATAATTACATAACAATAGAAAAATGATAGATACGATTGTATTAATAATCGTGTTCTATTAAAAATAAGTTTGCTAATCTAGTCATTTTAGCTTATATAAAAATATTCACTGTGAAATTAAAGAGCTAAATTATCTTCTTTGATTTAATTAATATTAATATTAAAATTAACTATAAATTTAACATCAGATGGCGCCACAAACGGAGAATGATTTATTTTTTACTCACACGTAAAATTAATAAAATCAAAATATACAAAAATTAATTTAAATAATATAAAATTTATTAATTTAATAAAAGATAAATTTTAAAAAATTTATTTCATATATTTCATGTAATATATTTATTCTCTTAACCAATAAAAGGTGTTCTGGAAGCATATAAATTTTCTTACGTAAGTTTTTGTAATGTGAAATGTAAATCATAAAAGAAATGAAATTATTTATTAAAATTTTCTTTTTATTTATTAAAAAATACATTTTTTTTAGTTAAAACCATAAATTTCGTCTCCAACACAAATATTTCCTTCGGAAACCAGTCCATATTGCATTCCAAATAAAGGTTTTTCTCCAAATTTTTCTTTCTGTTTAGCATCTCTACTTATTCTAAAACTGTAAAAAAATTATTTAAATATTTACAATTATATAAAGTAAGTTTTTAAAAAAAATATTATAAAATTTTGTCACGTTTTTAAAGTTCGTAAAGGTTCACTTTTAAACACGGTTCCATCTTCGGGATTAATCTTCGTCACGGAACATCTAAATTCAAAATTCGTGTCATTTATTTAAAATAAATATTTAAGTAAATCAGTATAAAATAAATTATTTTATAAACTTTAATACTCCATAAATAATATTTAATAAAATTCAAAAATTTCTTGGTAAAACGAATCGATAAATGTAGTCTACCTTTCACAAGGAACTGTTCTGATCAATACAGCCTTCTTTCCTATTTTCAGATATTTCCATTTATCCTGAAAGTTATAAATATTATATTTTAAAAAATCTTATTAATTTGTTATAATTTAATTATTTAGTTATTTAAATCTCATATCTTTTACTCACTTATTAAGGGACCGTTTGTTAAGTACGTGCACGGTTTTTGAGTTGCATTTTACTCCCTCCTCCCTGTTTTGTGTATAATAATAAATTCTATTTTTGGCAAATCCCGTCCCCTTTAATCACGTGTATTATAGTCCTGACATTGAAAAAATGACTTAAAAAGTTCTGAAAATATTTTAAACTGATACTTCATTCACATGGCTAATAATCACGCTTATAAAAACAAATGTGTATGCCACTACTGTAATACAATTTAAAACGACTATGTAGACGATGCCTCGACCATCGTGTAGATCTACAATAATGTACTTTTCTCAATTTCTTTCCACCTTAAACTGTTTTTTAATTTAATTTTATTTATTTTGTTTTTGACTCTTTCGCCCCATGGCCATTAAAACCCTTGGTAGAGCCCTTAATGGGCATTTTTTCATGCCCATTAAGGGCTCTACCAGGTCCATTATGAGGACTGCTAAGCGGTGAGAGACGAGGCCCGATATATCCCGGACAGACTGCCCATATACTCGTACGAAACATATTCATAATGGAAAATAGTAATAACAATACATCTACAGTATTATATTATATTAAAATATCGCTTTAGTAATGATAATGATAATAATAATAATAATAAAATATTGCGCTTAAAATACACGATGTCCTGTACAAAACGGGGCAAATGGCAATCGTATCTGGAAGTATCTGGCAAACCGTATCGTTTCACAAATGCAATAAATTGAAGGCCGAAGGTGTGCTTACAATTTTAGTGTCTCATCACACACTTTATTTGAATTACCCAAATTGCAGGACCGTTTCTGGAGGGAGTATAAAAAGTGCCCCGCAGTTGGACAGCCGAAGACCATTACTATATGTAAAAATTTGACTAATAAGGGCGGCGATATTGTTTTTCCACGTGAGAGACCAACAACCAGGAATGGCTACTGTAATTTCTACGTGTTCTGGTTGATTACGTGTACTTTGGCTTAACGAGGTAGTGCCTCAAATTATAAGGAACCTCGAACGATCAAAACTCTACTGTATTTTACCTTTTTGATCTATGGATGTTCATGGCAGTAAATCACATAATATCAATATAAACATATTTCTAAAACTAAAAAAAAAAATAAATAAATAAAAAGAATATTAACTTCTTCAAAAGGATTGCATTCGTCTATGACAATATTCGGTCTGAAATTCCTGTATGATATATATTGGTCCAATTTGCTGTTTAATTCGTCCAATGATGCCTGACCAAGTATTAGATACGGGTTTCCTGCTTGATATATTAACTGAAAATATATTTTAAAAAATTATTAAAGTAATTGAGTTGATTTTTATTACGAATATATTTGTATTTACGGGATAATTATCTTCGTTTAAATCTATTAAATTTTGAAATTCGGATGGCCTTGTTTTGAAATATGGCAAATATTGTATCAGTCGAATATCGGATTTTTTCAAAAATTTATGAAACCATTCTGCAGCTTCATCACCGCAGTCTACTCCTTCTATTGTTTTCTTATACATCCTGTAAAATAATTACTTCATTATTACATTACTAAACAGTAAAGTGTGCAGTGCTTTAAGCCTTTATTTTTTAACATTTATTAGAAAAATATAGACATGTTTAATACTTATTGTATTCATTAAGATATATATATTATTAATTAAATCGTCTGAGCTGCACTAACAAGTAAGTGCAATCAACTCTCCAAAGAAATGCCAATGTTTGTTAGTGATTTCTCTTTAAAACAAAGCTCACGAAGGGGCCTGAGCGATTATGCAATCAAACTAGAATAATTCGATAGTTCATGGGTTAATATTGATATATGCTCTTTTTAGATGCGAAGCTCCATGAGGAGGATCAAAGATAGGCTTTATTTTGAGTAACTGGCAGAGGCGCTTGTATAACTATTCTCTTTCGCACTAGCTCTGTCCCAATTTTAAAAATAATTTAGTGTTAATCTTCGAAGAGATAAGTTAGTTTTAATCGGGAAAAAAAATACGTTCACATAATCTAATTACAGCAAATGAACACGTTAAACATTATTTTCTATTCTCTACAAAAGCAATTCAAAAGATTAAGATACAGTACGTCTTCTAACAAGGTTTTTGGAACTTAATTTAATTTAGGACATTACATGTTAACCATTTTTATAAGATTTTCATACTCTTAAATCAAATATAAAAAATTACTTTTATAATTTTCACATTGAAAGTCACACTGAACTTTGATTTACTTTCTTATGGAAATTCCATCTAAAAGAATGTCTTATCAATGACCTTTGCTCTATTGAATTACCCTAGTTTTTGTCATGATCCCTAAGATAAGTTCGTAAATTTCCTTGTTAGTTATTTACAGATAAGGAATTTCTTAATAATTGATAAAAATTTTATCCTTGAGAACTTCAAATTTGTAAAAATTGACTAAAATCATTAATAATCAGTAAGCATTCTATTATAAAAATATAATAGTTAACCTTCAATTGATTTTTTAAAATTCAAAATATAACATACTTGCATGGAATAATTCTGGAATCTGAAGTTATTTTTGAAATAATGCCAATTCTTAACTGTTTCATGCCTGTTGCTTCAATAACCAGTTGATCGCCTTCTATTCTGGTTTGTATGGATACAAGACGAGGTTCATCGATTGGATTTAAGAAATTTCCACATGATTTAACCAGCATCCACATTCTAATTAGTAAATATATTTGAATATAAGTAACATGTTATCATTAACAATATTATTATTTGATTCATAAAGCTTAGAAAAAAAATTCAGATTACAAGGGGACCGTCCATTAATTAGTGTACAGCTTAAGAGAGAGGAAATTGTACATGATAGAGAGGGAGAGGAGTCGTAGTTTTGTCTACGTTTCTTAATATCTACTTATTAATAAAATATCAGTTATAAAATATTTGCAGAATTTTTAACGTAATTTCTTAAATGTCAAGAGGGTTCACTACACGTAATTAAAGGGAATTTGCTAAAAGTATGTTATTGTACTGCACATAACATGGAGGAAGTGTGACTTAAAACTGTTTACGTAATTAATGAACTGCCTAAAGTATGAAAAAGATAGAAACTTTATATTACCGAGAAAAAATACTTGAAAATTGGAAAGAATATTGTAAATAGGAAGGAAATCCAACTGTGTTTATTGAGACATTATAAATCTAATTTACAGTATAACAATGATTATTTTTAGATTGTTTTATCTATTCTTAGAAATCAAGTGAAAGCAACGTTCAAATTGAAAATATCTTGTAATAAACAAACATTTTATATTTACATTCGTATTTATTTATCATTTTATAATCTTAAATGGAAAAGAGAAAAGATTATGATTATTTATGACCTAACAACCGTAAACAAAAGCAAGGACAAGTGAAATGTCGTTAGTCTATTTTGTTAAAATCATACTTCACTAATCTATAATTTGCTACAATTAAAATAAAAATATCAATCCGTAAAGATATAAGTGTGATGAATGAAACAATCTAGTTTTAAATGAGCACGAAAAAAATTCATTAATATATTAAAAGATTTTATAGAGTTGAAGAATAACGTAAAGTGATTAATATTTTATATTAATATTTAGAAGTAAATCTAAAGATTTTTGAAACAGCATCTACTAAAAAATGAAAAACGTTTTGACAGCAAAGGATAACTCACTAGAACTTATAAATCCGAAAATGAAACACAGAATCTGATTTTGGTTTTAGAAAATAAAAAGAATAGTAGCAGCAATACAAATATAATGGAAGATAATTACTTCCATATCATTTAAAAATGTTAAATAATAATAATAAAACAATACTTGATGCAATGCTACCAGGAACATTGCATCGAGAATTTTTGTTATTTTTCCTGAATCTCTGTTGCTATTTTCCTCTTGGCTTTTGTCCCATTAATTTTTCCCAAAAACTAATGTAATATTATGAATTCAAAACTATGTTTACTTTCTAATAGTAGCGATCTATCTAAATTATTTTAACATTTCATTAAATTTAAAAATTCAAATCCTGATCAAAATTTCACGAAACAATANTGTAATAAACAAACATTTTATATTTACATTCGTATTTATTTATCATTTTATAATCTTAAATGGAAAAGAGAAAAGATTATGATTATTTATGACCTAACAACCGTAAACAAAAGCAAGGACAAGTGAAATGTCGTTAGTCTATTTTGTTAAAATCATACTTCACTAATCTATAATTTGCTACAATTAAAATAAAAATATCAATCCGTAAAGATATAAGTGTGATGAATGAAACAATCTAGTTTTAAATGAGCACGAAAAAAATTCATTAATATATTAAAAGATTTTATAGAGTTGAAGAATAACGTAAAGTGATTAATATTTTATATTAATATTAAAAATTATATAATGAAATTAGTTTATCTTTATGTATATATGTAAAAAGAAAAATAACTGTATATTGTAGAAATCCGCTTTATGTTTGGCTCGTGTGTGTTTTGAACAACAATAAGAAGATAGAAGGTAGAGAACGTCATATGTAAAGACCACTATAATTTCATAATCATTTCATTTGTAAATGTTTAAATTTTTCTATATTTTTAACAATTAATATTTATTCTTACGCAATTTTATATTAATATTTAGAAGTAAATCTAAAGATTTTTGAAACAGCATCTACTAAAAAATGAAAAACGTTTTGACAGCAAAGGATAACTCACTAGAACTTATAAATCCGAAAATGAAACACAGAATCTGATTTTGGTTTTAGAAAATAAAAAGAATAGTAGCAGCAATACAAATATAATGGAAGATAATTACTTACATATCATTTAAAAATGTTAAATAATAATAATAAAACAATACTTGATGCAATGCTACCAGGAACATTGCATCGAGAATTTTTGTTATTTTTCCTGAATCTCTGTTGCTATTTTCCTCTTGGCTTTTGTCCCATTAATTTTTCCCAAAAACTAATGTAATATTATGAATTCAAAACTATGTTTACTTTCTAATAGTATCGATCTATCTAAATTATTTTAACATTTCATTAAATTTAAAAATTCAAATCCTGATCCTTATCGTTGAAAGAAGGCCAACGTTAAATTAAATAAATTTAAAATATTATTACTGTAATTGCAAAAAATTCTATAGTTCGTAATTTTTGTTATTATTGAAAATTAAAAGCAATTAAAACTGAAGGGTAAAAATTAGTTCAAGGTATAAATAAATAAATTATTATTACATTTGAATGGTGAAAGATTTGAGTGAAAGTCTAATGTGAACGTATTATTTAATGATATTCTTTTCCGATAATTAAATTTTAGCTGTTAATTCATGTAATAAAATATAATATAATAGAGAAAAATGATTGCATGTAATTTTATAGTTTATAGTCTATAAATAATAAGAAAATAGATACTATATATTCATATTATTTAATGTTAATTTTATACAAAAATAAGTTTCATTTTACGCGTTTTTTTATACAAAATGAAATAAATTAATATATTTAGAAGCTGTGGCTTATATGATTAATTGATTGTGTGTATAATAAAGAATATTTCTTCAAATTTCTTCTTATAAATTAATATTTTCTGTAAGTAATAAAATAGAAAGATCAATGACATTATCCTTTATAGAAAAAATGATTCATAAACATATTTGTTGTTGTTACTTTCTGTTAAATAAAGAAATAATGTGAAAGAAATTTGTACATTATTCTGTTATCAGATAACATTACAGAAGTTTTACTGAAATAGACTTGAAAGAAAATTCATTTGAAATTTAAAGGCGATATAAGAAATAGAGGAAGATTAATAACCGAAAGACAAATGCGATCAATCATTTTAGAAAAAATGACAAAAGGACATTATTGAAAAGCTGGCAACGACGTTGCAGGACTTTCCCGGCATCCATTTTTTGTTTTCATCCCTAAGAATTTCTCCCATTCAAATTTACATAAAATTACTAATACGAATGATTACTCGTATTAATGAAGATCATTTAACTACTATAAAAATATTACTCTCTCTTCTCTTCGACATATAAAGATCTTTGAATCCAATTTAGATGGAAATTATGATTAACAACACATTTATCTCAAATAATTTCATAAAAAAATAATTTTTTATATATTTATCCCGAACCCAGACTCGAACCTAATTAATTAAAGCTATTTTATTAATATATATTTTAGGCTCAAAGACCGAAAACGCTCATTGAGCGAAAAAAATTGATCACAACGCTATGTGATAAAATATCTGCCCAAAAATAAGTAACTCCTGGCCGTATAAAGTCATTGCAAAGTCATATAATATTTTAAATATTAGCTAATTAAATAGAATATCAATATAATTTTTACTTAACCCTTCTATTAACAAAATACTAATGACTGAATGTTTAGCTGTTCCTTTCCCTAAACACTGGTAGTTCTGTCGCGTGTTCGCGCCCATTCAGAACGGACTGACCACGTGGAGTTTTCTCCACATCTTTAACGCCTAAATAGGGGGCGGTTATCTTTAAAAAGACCTCCCGAAAAACAAACCCCCCTAGACAGATCTCCCAAGTGTTGTGCTGCCGTAATTAACAAAACCAACAAATAATGTTTACCCGTCTCCTGTATCAGTTTTGAATTAATGACAGAGGAAGCTGGAAATGTTTCCCCAACCTCGGAGCAAATTTAGAGACCCGTACGAGTTCTATCCCTATAAATTAATGTTATTTTTATTAACAAAAATAAAAAAGATCCCGCTAAAGGATAAAAGGATCCTCTCTACCTCCGAGCCCATTACTGTCCTCATTAATAATTTTTGAAAGTTTAAATATTCTTTTTCTCAGTTTTTTATGATATTTATATGGTAGAGACTCTTACATAAGAGTAGGTAGGAGTTCTTACTCTTATAAACTTGTATTTTATTCTTAAATTTTTAAGAAATTTTGAAATTTAATTAAAGAAAATTGAGAATAAAATAAAGGTTCTAAAATATTGTAAAATATTATTTGATCTTTCATAGGTCTTCTAATTACACATTCACCCTTTAATAAAATAATTAAGCCTTTTCAAACATACAGTTAACGTTTAACAAATAAAATTAACAATAGAATATACGACTTACCAATAAAATTATAAAATCTTTATACAGTTAAATTTCCTTATAAAGCTTCTAGTCCTTTAACTCTATATATTTTTCTTCCAATAACGTAGCTACCAATCTTGGTTATTGATCACTTGAGTAGAAGACGCGTCTTCAACGGTGAGGAGGGAAATTGTTTATTTGGAATCATGGAGTTAATTAATTAAAAAATCATGGACGATGATTGCCATTCTCCCAATCAGGCCACACTGGCGTTCAGTAATCCCGGAACTCCTCGAAACGACCGGCTGAATGACGACATCAGCGGAATGGTTTCCTCTTCCACCTTTGCAGCCGTGGGCCAAACCACCCAGGCAGCAGCAGCAGCCTATGGTACCATAAGACAGCAGCCACAGTCCAAGTACGCGCAGCTCCTGGGAGTCATCGAGGAACTGGGCAAGGACATTCGCCCGACCTATGCAGGAAGCAAGAGTTCTGCAGAGAGGCTGAAGCGGGGCATCGTGCATGCCAGGATTCTGGTCAGGGAGTGTCTGATGGAGACGGAAAGAAATGCCAGAACCTAATTTAATACTTGACACAGAAGAGAATCACGAATAAAATTCTTTTTTTTTTTTTTACAGTGAAAACAAAATGGCGGACTCCATGTTTGTGTTGTTCGTTTATAGATTTTGCCGTTTATACGAGATTTTATAATGGATGTAGACGTGTTAGGTACCGTAATTGCTACGTTAATAAAGACCGAAACGATTTTCAATCAGTGTTTTATTGAAGATAACGACGAAGAGGAGGAATTCGTCTTTTACAGCGCGGATGAATTATTAAAGGCAGCATGTGTTAAAAGTGATGCGGATAAAAACATTGAAAAGGTATATGAATCAAGCGATAAAAAGTTAAAGAGCGCGATTAAGCGGAGGAGAATATCAAAGAACGGAAACAAAGCCGATAAAGCATCTCAACCTTTGATACCTTTAGAACTGTTGAGTGATTTTAAAGCTCAGTTCAAAATGACAACTACAACATTCGAAAAATTAATTCAGGCCCTTCGCTATAATCACGAAATGGAGAGAAAATCAGGAAGACCCGCCGTTCCATTCACCAAACAATTGCTTATTGTGGTGTGGATGCTGGTTAATCAAGAACCGTTTAGAATTATATCAGAAAGGTTTGTGGTACCAAAATCAACTATCGAAAGCTGTTTCAAGAGAATTATATTTTTGATGCATCAAGTTAGTCCGGATATCATAAAATGGCCAAGAGATAAAGAAGCCACCGACGAAATGTTAGCATTTAAAGAAATATCTGGACTTCCAAAGGTATTAGGTGCCATTGATAACATTCACATAAATATAAAATCGTCACGTGCCTTACCAGAAGTTTACAATAATAGAAAGGACTTACAACTGTGGTACTTCAAGCAACTTGCAATCACAAAATGATGTTTACTAGTTGCAGTACTAAATCACCTGGATCATTAACGGCCGAACAAGCATTTGAAGGTTCTGAATTATCTAAACAAGCTAAAGACGATCAAAGCATGTTTCCTGAAGGAGCTTACCTAGTCGGACCGTGTAGCTATCCACTTCACACATGGCTAATTACACCGTATCAAGGAGAACAACTGACCGCAGAACATGAACATTTAAATAATGCATTGACCGAAGCACACAGACCTATCAGCAAGGCATTGAAATTGTTAATGACGCGATTTCAACGTTTAAAAATGTTAGACATGAACAGGTTGGATTTAATTCCATCCTGCTTAAAAACTACTTGTGTTATCCATAATGTGTGTATCATGAATGATGACTTAATGGACGTAACCGACGTAGACAACGAGTATAATAGCTTCGAATGTGCATTACTTACTGACATTCAAGGAATCGAAAAAAGAAACCTTATCATGCAACAATCACGAAAGACACTTGAAAAACTTCTTTATTCTTTGAATAATTCCAAAATGTACACTTCTTGTTTTTAGACCCCTCTTCAGTTGAAGTAAACCATTTCCATAAACCATAAAACCAACCACAATGCTACCATATGTTCATAGAATAAGAGACCCCTTTATTTACAATTAATAATTTAAAATGTTTGGGCTGCAATTTTCAAAAATTTCATATGATAAGGCAGGAATCCCGACTAACTATATACGTATATATAATATATTATAGTATATATTTCAATTCACAAGTTTTCTCCAGAAGGGAGTTAGATAACAATAGAGTCATATCGACCATCTAACAGGAAAAGTGTGATGTACAGTACAGTACAGAGGCAAGATACTAAACTCGAGAGAATTACGAAGAAAAATTACAGCCCGGCATTGTGGTGATATATTGATAACAATAAGTAATTGCTCGTCTGTTAATAATTTTCTTCTTTGAAATACAATACAAATTTACTAAAATTTAAATAAATTACAATATTATAGTAGAATCTATCCAAAATGGAACCCGAATAAAACAGAAAAAATATTCAGTGCCGTCCTATTCCGGTTTACATAGGTTTTATATTTGTAAAAATATAAATACTGTAATACAATTGCATAATTTTGCTACAATAACAGCTCTATTAATTTTTCTCCCATTTTAAATTTGAAGAAAAATTTGAATTTTTAAATTTTATCTAAACTCATTTCACACCCTTATAATTACATTATTTTGCTATTACATAATTTTTATATTTGTAATTTATATCACTAATATGTTCTGATACTCGTGATTGTGGTAAGATAAGTCCTGATTAATAGCCAAGATTGGTGGCTACTGTATATCACTGGAAGAAAAAACAGTAAAACTTATTTAAAATGAAAAAAAATTGATATCATACGATTCCAGTTTACATAGATTTTAATGTGTTTTTATGTTTTAATACCCTTTAATTCGTAAAAATGTTAAAACACTTAGAAACAGGCAATGGATTTCTCAAGATTTCTCAAGTCATTTATAATTATGAAGTTCATGGTTATTTCATTAAACATTTCCATTTTATATAATAATAATTAGGCAGAGGTTTACGTTCGAAAAATAGGCCACAGTCTCCCTTGGTTACCGGTGGCGAAAGCAACGCCGGCCCAAGCATGGCTACTGCAATGCCCTCAACAGATGTGAGGAATCAACCTAGCCTTGGTGTTTCTGTGGCAATGCATCCACAGACCACAAAGGCTGGAAAACCACGCCAACGGATGAAATGGACAACAGAAATGAACGAGTTTATCATCCGCACTTACTACACCATCACAAGACTCGAAACAAACATGACAGCATACAGACAACAACTACACCATAGATTCACACAACAATATCCTCACCTCACTGTCACCGAACAAAGGGTTGTTGATCAAAAAAGAACAATTATACACAACAACCTTATCCCACAAACAACACTTGAACTTATCAAACAACAGGTTGCTGATCAAATACATCAACAGACAGAAACATTTAACATTAATGAAGATCACGTAACCTGTCAGGATAATCCAGCAACAAGCACTGATTACAGCACACACACAACAAGTACCACTAATGATACTGCAGGCACTTCCCCATCCATCACTGATAACATAGACATAGAATTAGTTAATACACTCTCACTTATATTTCAGGAAACACTCACTAAATATACAGGTACAGATCCCACACAAAGACCACGAATACCGAAAATCAACACGTCAAAGGTAGTAGGAAAAACACTAAATTATGTAAACACTCACTTACTACCAAACTACATTCATTCAATTTCTACACTCTCAGACATTCATACATTAGTTTATGCTGGGGCAGTCACAGTAGTGACACACCATGGACTGAAAATACACTCACAGACAGACACACACAAAACACAATTCTATCACAAGCCTGCCTGGCAGAGAAGAATAGAAACACAAATAAATGACATTAGACAGCAATTAGGCAGGCTGACACAATACACTAAAAACAACATAACACCCAAATTAAAGAAACAACTCAAAAACATTTTCAAGAAAATTAAAACACACACAAAACATGAACATCACAACACACACATTACAGAATACATCGATACACTAAAACAAAAACTCGCAGCCAAAGCACGTAGACTCAAACGATACAAAACATGTACACTACGAAAACAACAAAATAAATTATTCACAAACAATGAAAAACTTTTCTACAGACAAATCAGTACCAAAACAAACACTGATACACAGCACAGTGGCACACCAACAGAAGAAGAACTCACAACTTATTGGTCTTCTCTTTGGTCCAATGCTGTTACACACAATGCTGATGCAGGCTGGATCGAGGAGGAGAACAGAAACTTGCACAACATACCAACTATGCCCTGTGCTGAAATAAACATACACGACATTCGCTACGCTGTTAACAGAACACACAACTGGAAGACACCTGGTGTAGACAACATTCACAATTTCTGGTACAAAAAGTTTACATCACTGCACCAGGAACTAGCTAAACATCTAACACACATCATCATCAATCCACAAGACATGCCAAAATTTCTTACTCAGGGCATCACCTACATGAAACCTAAAAACAACAAAACCACAGACCCCACACAATACAGACCAATTACATGTCTTCCAACACTCTACAAATTATTGACATCCTGTATCACAAACAAAATATACAAACATGTTGAAGAACACGACATTCTTACAGAACAACAAAAAGGTTGCCGTAGAAATCACAGGGGATGCAAAGAACAGTTACTCATAGATTCAGTCATTCTACGGCAAGCACACAAACAACACAGAAACATACACATGGCATATATAGACTACAGAAAAGCATTCGACAGTGTTCCACACAGTTGGCTGCTACATATTCTACACATGTACAAAATACATCCATCACTCATTGCATTCTTCGAAAACACTATGCAGCACTGGAGAACAACACTACATCTCAGGGTTAGTAACACTTCCATACAAACAAACGAAATATTCATTAGGCGAGGAATTTTTCAAGGAGATTCCTTGAGTCCTCTCTGGTTCTGCCTAGCCCTGAATCCATTATCCAACATGTTAAACAACACGCAATACGGCTACAATATCAGACACGAAAAAACAACACAGTTTACACTCTCACATCTCATGTACATGGACGACATAAAACTTTATGCATCCACACAAAAACAACTTCATCAACTCCTACAAATCACACATTCATACACTAAGGACATACAAATGGAGTTTGGCTTAGACAAATGCAAAAAACTTCACATAGAAAAAGGAATCCTGAAGAAAGAAGATTTTGCACTTGGAAATGGAGACGTTATTGAATCCATGGAAGAGGGCGAGTTCTACAAGTACTTAGGATTCCAACAGGCCAAACTAACAGAACATACACAAATAAAGCAACGATTAATTAAAGAATACCAAAGTAGGTTAAACGCTATACTTAGAACACAGTTAAATGCAAAACACACAGTTAAAGCAATAAACACATATGTCATCCCAGTACTCACATACTCTTTTGGAGTTATACATTGGACTCACACAGATCTCGAGCAACTCCAAAGGAAAACAAGAACAACACTTACTAAGCATAAACAACATCATCCTAAATCCGCCACAGAAAGATTAACCCTTCCACGTAAAGAAGGCGGACGTGGCCTGATTGACATAGTTAACCTTCACTACAAACAAATACAGTCACTGCGAGAGTTTTTCTACAAGAAACAAGAAACATCACAGTTACATAAAGCAGTAACTCTAGCAGACTCAAATAACACACCATTAAACTTACACTCACATCATACAGACATGACACAACACATAAAAAGCATAGACACCATCAAGCAATCGTGGGCTCGAAAGGCACTCCATGGCAGGCATCCTTATGACCTGGCCCAGGATTTTGTTGACAAAACTGCGTCAAACAGCTGGTTAGATCGGGGATGCCTCTTTGGGGAGACGGAAGGATTCATGATTGCCATACAGGATCAGGTCATAAATACTAAAAACTACAGAAAACACATACTCAAAGATACAACACTCACAAATGACACATGCAGAAAATGTCACATCATGCCAGAAACTATACAACACATCACTTCTGGTTGCAAGCTCTTGGCACAGACAGATTACTTACATAGACACAATCAAGTAGCAAATATAATACACCAAGAGCTTGCAAAGAAACACAAATTGGCAGACATCCACGAACCATACTACAAGTATATTCCACAGACAGTATTGGAAAACAACACGCACAAAATGTACTACGACAGAGCCATAATCACAGATAAAACAATTTACCACAACAGACCAGACATCACACTCATTGACAAACACAATAAAATCACATACATTATAGACATAGCCATTCCAAACACTCACAATGTACAAAACACATGCACTGAAAAAATTAGCAAGTACACAGAACTCGCCCAGGAAATAAGGCATCTGTGGAGGATGGATAGGGTGCTTATTGTACCTGTTGTTCTCTCCTGTACAGGTGTGATACCACACACACTACACAAAAGCCTGGGAACATTACAATTGAGTAGAAATACTTACATCACACTACAGAAGGCCACTATATTGAATACATGCCACATTGTTAGGAAATTCCTGAATACAGACACACACACACTGACACACTTATTTAATTTTAGTTTTGTTTTTGTTGCTATGCCTTGACTCTGGTCCGGCATAGTCACAGCCACCGGTGTGAACCGAGTATAACTCACAAAACCCAACATAATAATAATAATAGATTATGGAAGGTATAGATCTAAAGTAGCATATAGATCCAACTCAAGTTTGTCTTGGTCAGATGCCTTTTATTGTTTGCCATCGCCTATTGGACATGCAAGCATTCCTCAGACAGTCCTCTAG